ACATGGAGGGGGGGGGGGCAGAGCAGTAAAGCAATTCAATATTACACACCACATACCTTCAAAATCTGACAGAATCCCTTCGAGGTGTTCGTTGACCGAAAGCTCCGACATGTTGCTGACCGTGGCCGCACACTGGCTCCAGGTCTCCGGGTTCAGAGCGCAGGTGAGGAGCGGGAGAAGTTCTGGAGGAGCTGGGCTAAGGTGCGTCCACTCGCTGCGATCACAGCCGCTGATCTGAGTGAGTGTGTGTCGGTAATGTGAGTGTGTGTGTGTGTGTGTGTCACTCCACACTCACTGGCTGGCTGGCTGCTCCAGACTCGGTGGCCCTGCCCCCTACCCAGCTGCCTGCAGTCTGATCCCGGGGGGCAGAGAAAAGACTGCTCCTCCACGGCCCGGAGGAGGAGGAGCCGAACGAAACACCTGGAAAATATCCTCAGTCAAATTTCTCTCGTCTGTAACCGCCTCCTCACACACGTAAGTACACACACACACACACACACACACACACACACACACTCTGCCGGGGGGCAAAGGCCTCACTATCTTGGAGGCAGAAAGTTTTATTCATGTTCTAAACACTGTCAAACATGTTGACCTGCAGCACTGACCGAGGAAAGCTGGAGGGGGCGGGTCCAGGGGGGGAGGCTGTGCCCCCCGCTATCTCCCCTACCTCACACACGTACCTGTATGACGTGTTAGTATAAAATAATAATATTCTCATATTTAAATATCCTTGTGTGTTTTTTAAATACCTGTATTAAATCAATACAACGTGAGATGCTGGGAGTTTCCCCGAAGATCAGTGATGCAGAGACCCGTCAATCATCCTCCAGGTGGTCTGTCATTGGCTGCAGAACTTCCGTGTTTCCAGAATGTTTTAAACGACGTACAAAACAATGACCAAACTCGCCTAATATATATAACCTATTCGCTTGAAAATATCGATACCTATTGTTTGCGGTGTTTTTTTTTAGCTCGTTCAAAAAAAAAAGTTAGCATTCGACAACAAAAGCGGGAACGCCTCAAATGAACTCGGCCTTACCTTCTAGCAACGGAGACCATAATTCCCCCCCTCTGTACGACGTTCAAAAATCCAATAATTTAAACAATAATTCGATATCTTCGTTACATAACTAAAGTACGTTAACTCATTAGCACAACAACATACCGGTGCATTCCGATTATGCTAGTTTCGTCTCAGTGTCGTTTAACGTGTGTTTTCTCAGCCAATCAACGCACTCCGTTACACTGTGACGCACGACGTAAATGCCGTCGCCTTTTACACAGGTTAAAATTCATTTTGTGCTGTATATAACGTGGTATTAAAGTAGATTGTCGAGCAAAATACAATAAATCTTGACAACTGGTCGATACAGCAACGTTTGTTGTGTCAGTTTTACTCTCAGAAAACGGACAGAAGTCAAGAAACCCCCCCCAAACAAATGTAATTAACCAACTAGCACAGCGCTAACAGGAGCTAATGTGAATCAATTTAAGGAAAACCGTGGCCTAAACTAAGAAAACAAAAGTTCTGTGGATGTGGATTTTTTTTTTTAAATTTTTTTTATAAAGGTATCATACTTTGCAATGGCAGGGTGGTAAATGTGTTGAGACCAAGTCAGGCTTAGACCGGATTGATATTTAATAACAGACAGAATTATAAAAACACACACTCCTTCCTCCCACCCAGCCTTTCTCTCCCCCTCCGTAAGGACCGAGCACTGATCCTAGGGGGCACAGAGCCTCCTCTGTAGCTGCCCCCACCCTCTGGAATTCATTCCCTAAAACCGCCCCCACCCATCCACATTAAAAACACTGCTTGAAACACACATAAAACACACTCACCTATAATATATACACGTACCATGCATGTACATAGTATATATATTCTTTATATTTCCTTAAATTGTTTATTACCTGGGGGGAATGGGGGGGGGGTTGTTGCACCTGAATTGCCCCCTGTATTTGCTCTATCAACTGATGAGAGATATTAGTGACTCGTATATTGTCCCAAATTAAGCTTAATTAGTATTTTCTGAGTATTTAAAGTGTAGTGAGTAACGCACACGTGGGGTTGATGACCTTTGGTCACATGAGCGGGGCAGATATTTGAAATGGCGTCTCTATGAGATTGCATATTTTGAAATGGCGTCTCTATGAGATTGCACCAATTGTTTTTTTTTCTTTACCAGGCTGTAAAATAATAAAAAAAAAATATTGTGGGATTAAGGATTCCATGAATTTAAGACTATGTTGTAATTTAATATGAAGTATTTTCAGTAAAAGAAAAATCTACCAGAGGCACTGAACGCATCCTGCAACAGAACTCTGCCAATATTCATTTCTTTGGGCACGGAATCCAAACAGATGCTCCTTTGTTTCCTTTGTGTATGCATTTAATCAGAAATCTGTTGGAGAAGCGCAGTCGTATTTTTACTGTGGGTGGTGTCAGAAGGCTCCGACGGATGAAGGCAGATAAACGCCGGTAGTTTTTGCTTTTTTTTTTTTTTAAAGAAGAGTAGAGTTCAACCTAAGAACTACATTCCAGCAAGGCTCAGCTAAAGGACACACACACACACACACACACATAATAGCCACAGGGCTAATGAGGAGCCCCCACCCACTGACCCCCCGTCCTGACAGAAGTCTGTGAGTGTGTGTGAATGGGTGGTTTTGTTCCCAGCGTCTACTGTACGTATATGCAGACAGTCTGAGCTGACCATGGGTGTGAACCTGTTCACGGTTGGTTGTTTATGTGGTCCCCGTGACGGACTGGGGACCACGGGTTGTACCCCGCTCCTCTCTCCTCTCTCCTCTCCACGTGACGGACCGGGGACCACGGGTTGAACCCCGCTTCTCTCTCCTCTCTCCTCTCTTCTCTCTCCTTCCCGTCTTTGTCGCTCGTAACCAGAATAAAACAGTAGAAGAAAAAACGATGATGAAAAGTCATAACTCATGAAGTTACAGCCTTGGTGTGTGTGTGTGTTTGCTTTGGTTTGTGTATTTAGGAAATCATCACTTTGATATATGTGTGTGTGTGTGCGTGTGTGTGTGTGGTTGGTGCCTGTCAGGACTTGAAGAACATAATTTTGTCTCCTCTCTCCTGTTTCATCCCTTGCTCTCTCTAAGGCTGCTTAATTGGCTTATTTCCTGTGATATATTTGATAGTTTAAGTGTGTGTGTGTGTGTGCAGGTTCGCCCATGCTCCGACTCTCCTGCAGGAATCTTCTTGCACAGTAGTCTTCTACACATTCTCGGGGGCCAAAGAATCCCGGCCCCACATACCAGAGTCATTTAGATAGTGAGGCTCCTGCTGATGATGGAACCTGATACGTTGAGTGCGGCGTTAGCCTCGAGGTACAGTCGCAATTTGCTTTTCCCAACGACACATTCTTTAACACATGTGGCCTTTTGGTGTATGTTTAAACCACGTCTCTCCATAATGTATAAAGCTGCAGGCTTGTCTCATTTTTGGACCACACTGTACTGTATACATTACATTACAATACATTTAGCAGTCGCTTTTATCCAAAGCGATTTACATATATCAAGCTACGGTAGACATATAAAGTACAAAAATACATCAATAATAATAAATTGTAATACATAATAATAAAGAATAAAAGAAAAAGTACAGTAATACTCATAGTAGGTCATAGAGTAAGAAGAGTTGCATGTTAGATGTTATATATGTGTAAAAATGTAAAAAATAAAACACACATATATATTGAAATTAAACTATCACACATTTTTCCAGCACCAAAAGCAACTCGGGAGTACATTAATTAAAGCAAAAAAAATTACATCAATGAAGTGCTGAGAGCATAAGAGAGAATAAAAAAAACTGTATTTATACATGCAGTATGCTAGAGCTGCCACAAGAGGGAGAAGTTTGACTTGGCTATAAAATGCTATTTTGTCAGCGTGAAATCAGACAGTGTGTATGGGGAGAGGGGATGGCGTGGCGGGGGTGTATATATATGTATATATAAATATACATATATATGTATACATGTATACGTATATATGTATATATAAATATCTACAGTGGCAGAATGGAAAAACACATCTTCCTCTCTCTCTCTCTCTCTCTTTCTCTGCCTGTCTCTATCTCACTCTTCCTTTCTATCCCTCAGTTATCCCTCCCCTCACCCACCCCTCCCCCCTTGTCTCTATATGGGGCCCAGAGGTACCAACCTGTGCCCCAGAGCCATGTCTAGAGTCACAGTACTTCTGGTGGACTATCTGCAGCAGCAGCAGCAGCAGCAGCAGCAGCAGCAGCAGAGATAAGGAGAGCGGAGGTTTGTTGCCGTGAGTTCAGGAAATAGAAAGCGATGCGGTCACCGAGACGCTCTGCAGCCTCTGTGCCGTGTCTTAGCAACTCAAACACGTTGCGTTCGAATTCCACGTGCTTCTCAATCAAAATGGTTGCAGGTCTCGGGCCGTCGACCGGACGGTTGGCTCGGTGTGTGTGTCCTTGGACAATTTTGTCCATCCCAAAATGTTTCTTATCAGGCCTCTGGCAAATGGGACGTGTCATAGAGAAGTGCTATATATAGCGGCGGCGGTGTGTATGGATATAGGCCTGGAACGTGGGCCTGGTGGTGTAAAGCACCGTGAGTGGTCATTAAGAGTGAAAAGTGTCATGGAAATGTCCATTTACCTTTTGTCAACCTGGGAACAAATGCCACGGGCCCAATTTGGGAAAAAGCTGCTTTTTGGATGACCTATCTTAGTGTGTGTGTGTGTGTGTGTAAGAGAGAGAGAGAGAGAGAGTATAGCTTCCGGGAGGACAAGAAAGAGAATTTTTGTGAGATATATATTTCATAAATTCCATACCAAGACCAAACATTTAAATGCAGTTTAATGTATTACAAAATAAAAGCTGGTATTTATTGTTAAGTCCTTTCACGTAGCAGGAGTTTGACTTGGTTGATTGGTGCATTTTAATAGAATTGTAAATATATATGTATATATATATATATATATATATATGATGAGTGGATCTGTCCGACATTACTGTAATTAAAATTCAGTTTAAATGAGTCGTTCTGGATCTCAGCGCTCAGACAAAGCTGTCAGCCGGGCTGCTGGTCCGGTCCTGCTCACAACACAGAACATTAGAACCATTCACTTGTGAACAATGGCTGTTTGAAGGTCAAGTGTGTGACATTTCAGAGTGTTTATTGTCGGGCAGCATCTTACAAGTGCTTCCATAACCTACTCATGTACAGTTGTACTCGTTTACACTTGCCTCCCTGTTTGCAGTGCTGGAAGAGAGGAGAGGGATGAGGGGAGAGGGGAGAGGGGTGAGGGGAGAGGGGTGAGAGCGTAGGGAGGAGGAAGTAGTATTTGAAGCACACGGACCAGATTAAATAATTTACAGCCTTTCAGGGCCATTCGTAGGCATTCTATTGAAATATTTAAGTGTGTAAATGATATAAATATAAAATGTGGTTTCTAGACCTGTGACTGGACATCGTCAGAGGTAAGGTTGCCTCCCTGTGGCCGATAAATGAACTGAAATGATGATCCAGCAGCTTGGTTTATGGCCCTGGTGTGGTCCACAACCCAGATGTTGATTCTGCAGGTTATTAGAGTCAAACATTTGCCTTAAATTTTAAGGAAAACGCTTCAACAAAAGTACGAGGAGATAAAGTACATTTACACGTACCAGCCTAAAACTTTTGCCTAGTACTACAGTACATGTTTTTTTTCAATATAGTGACGACAGGATGAAGATGAGTTCAGTTCACTGTCACTGAGGAGAGGCTGGGATGAGATCATCTTTGTTGTTTTTTTTTTTCATTTTGACTATGATTGAAATCACTTTAATCAAATCAAAAATCGATTAGAATAATTCACTTCATCAATCAGTCTTCAAATCTTCAATTTCACTGTGATGACAACACACAGACACACTGAGAGCTCTGAGTGAACAGTAAAAAAAATCACATCATCTTTAGAGCCTGAGAAACTCTTCTCCTTCCTCTCAGCAC